TTCTTTAGGGCCGTGATATCTATCAAAATAAAAAAATCGGATTTTTTTTCAACAGTTAATTACGAAGAAACGACTCGGTCGATCTTTGTACAGAATTAATCACAACTCCCAAATAATATCTTTCAAATAGTTTTTGAATTTTAAAGAAACGGCTCAGCTGACCGTAACGTCAAAAAACGCTACACATTTTCTGAAACTTTGATGAATTTTTAAAAATTAAACGACTTGTCGCAGAACCGTAATGTTTTGGAAAACCAAGATATCTAACGTCAAAAAAATCATTAAAATCGTCGAAAAATACATGTACTTTTTCCAAATTTGGTCTCAATCTACTATGGCTTGAAACGTCAAAAAAACATAAAATTACTAAATCGGATTTTTTGATGAAAACAAACTTCTCCTTCGGGAAGTTAATAATTGAAGTTTATTATATATGTCTAAATTATATATACATCAAATAACGAGTACAAGTAACTAAATCTTATTATACCTACTACATTAAATTTTCTGTATTAAAATAAAAGTTTATTATAGTGATAATCCTTTCATAAGAATCAAATTGTAAAATAATTTATTTATCTAACTAGATTACCCGACAGACGTTGTTCTGTACCCATGTCTACAATTTTTAATATAATATACAAATATTTACTGTTTACCTAATTTTTTTTTAAATTACTCTTCATGCCAAAATGCATATATATTTACAATGTGAGCGATGTTAAATGTAGAACTGCTTTAAATAAAATGATGAGTCTCAATTTCCGCACTATATTGGAAATTGAAGTCTTTTAAACGGTATAAGATAACCATAACCATAACATAACACTGGTACTTCATGTTGGATGAAATTATTTTAATTTTTTATTATTTAAAATATCCAAAATTGTATCTTAAACTTCTAATCGATATCGTGAGGGCTGAATTTTATGTATTCATCTTTACTTTCCCAGTGAAAATTTTACGAATTTTAAAAATATTCGTGGAAAGATTAGTAAAAGATGCAAAAAAATTATATATTGAAATAAAAACTATATTGAAAATTTAATATCCGAATCTTGTGTTGGCGCCTCCTAAGGCGTACGCTCGTATTTTTCGATTTTTTCTCGCCGTATCCGTATCCTTGGACTTCAACGAACATTTTAAAAAAAGAATTGGCCAAATTGGTCCAGGCGTTGTTGAGATATGCGCTTACCAACACATTTTGCGATTCATTTTTATATATAAGATGTCTTCAACACCTTTATAACCATTAAATTTTACTAGTCTTATTATCTTCGAAGATTAAAACAAACTACATTGATGTTTGCACTGTAATTGATGTTTTTATCTAAGAACTAGCAAAAGTGCTGATATTAGCATACTGGTAGATAAGATAATTGGCAGATTTCAAGAAACACAGTGCACATACAAAACAAGAACATTTACACATTCACTTACATACATAAATTACAATGCTTAAGTAAGTTGTTTGAAAAAAATTCAAATAGAGAGAAAATGAAATAAAACTGATACACTTTAAATTGAATCTGCTGGCCAATTTTTTGAGACCCTTCATTATTGCAAAATTAAGCAGGAAAGTTAATAATTTATCAGGATGATCTTTTAGTTATTGAAATATAAATTGATATTCAAATAAATTTTATATTCAAATATTTTGCTATAATTTTGGTAGATCTCTTTTTAATCTGGAATTAAACCAATACATTTACGAGTGATTTCATTGACGATTAACTCGCATGCATGTGGTTAAAATTGATCAATTAATAAATAAAAATATAAAGTGTGTTCCTTTGTGCTTTCAAAATGTATGAGCAAGTTTCGTTTTAATAATAACCACAAAAGCTACCCCCATAGCTGTATAGTAGCTGCACGGTAGGTAGTGCGTATTAGCGTCTGATAATAGGAGACCGTATAACTTTGTCAGCGCATCATTTGAGTGAATTAATCATGAGCCAAGCCCCCCTTTTGAAGTTATTTACAAAGCTTTGTACATATTTACAAAACCAGCACTGTTATATGGCGCTTGAAACGTATACACAATTTTAAATTATTAGCTTTCGTGCCATTTGAATATAAATAAATAATCTACTCTAAAATCGTTCATTCATGTTGAAAATATTTTGTAAATATTATATGAGGTATTAAATTTTTAGGCTTTGGTGCTTTTATGCAAAATTCATTTGATTCCAGATGTAGGGTAGGACAAAGCACAAACGTTTAATTCATTAAATAAATAATTACTAATTATACTAATCATTACAGTCTAGACCAGATGAAACACATAATAACCAACACGTATCAAACAACTATCAAACTATGTCCAGTAAAATCCCCAGAAAGTTTATAGAAAAATGTTGTTTTTTTATTCTTTTGAATTTGTCATCTGTATTTTTACACCTATTATTTATAACTATTATATATTTATTCTGTATTTTTCACACCCTTATTTTTAATTTTAAAAGAATTTTACGAATTAATAGCTACATTTTTCAACCATGCAAAAATATTAACTACGTAAAAAAATAGTTTTGTCATGAATATTGATACTTAGCCGTTAATCTCCTGATAGCAACGCCATAAGAATCTAGGTGATGGCTGATTACACATCTTTTGCCTTCCACTTTAAAATAGTATCGTTAAAAACTTTCATTTCGTTATAGAAATGATGATGGGGGATCTTTTTACTTGCGGAGCTTTTTTGGCCATGCTCTACCTTACCAGATATATACAATATGTGATTTTGCATTCAAATTCCGGTGAAAAAAATTATATAGTATATTCAGTATTTTAAATATATCTTATTATTAGTGAATTTAAGAAATCAGTAAGATAGCTTACAAAGTTTGCGGGGCCGAGACCTGTGTCGATAAACAATTATATTTGAACGCACGGATACAAAAAAATATAAAATTTAGTGGATTTTAATATTCATTTTCACTATATGCAATTTTCGTGTAGTTAATATCTTTAGTCTAAAATGATTTATAACGGATTAAAAATATGATACATAACTAATTGAAAGAACTCAATTATATAAATATATATTATATTTCACTTTCACATTAATTAGAATATTAAATTTAATTTGAAATTACTAATGCAGTAGTAAATGTATAATTAAAGTATGTTGTATAACATTAGAGTATATTGTTAGGAACTAACTAGCCAATTTATGGTTAATAGATATCCATAAAATAATAGAATTTATAGAATGCAAATCATTTAATAACCGCAAGGTATTATTTAATAATGTATTATTTATATAAAGCCTATATAACAGTTTAAAAAAATTAACACGTTATATGTTTCAACTTGAAACTTTCAAGCAACTTAAATTATTATTAGTTGTTACTTCATGAATTATTTATTCGTAATAATTGTTATTACTATTAATACAATTACTTATATTAGATAAGAATATCATTATTGCATATACGTGCACCAATTTGTATATTGGTAGATCGTTATTTTATTTTAGAAGTAATATTTAGAATATGTATATTATAAGCAAAAATATACTATAGTAATAATGCGAATACACATAGATATATTTCAACATATATTAGTAGAGTACCTAATAATAACTAATAATAATTATAAACGAAGATAATGTACCACTTACGAGATAAGTAATGAAATTTAGTCTCACAAATATTTTTGAGTAATATTACATTTTAGCTTCTACATATATTTCATTTAATACGTGAAAAAATCTTATTATATTAACCAGTTAACTTTAAATGACGAATATACTCGTTATGACGAGAAGATTATTCTGAAGTTGTTTAGAATGATTTGAGGCTGTGACTACATAAAATAAGTAGTTGTAAGTGACATTTTACCTTGATAAGTTGCATGAACTTCCCGAAATGTTGATTTTTTTTATTATTATTTCTTTTATTTACAACTGACCAGTAAAGGACATTCAATAAATTTGATGAATTTACAATAGTCGGCCGAAAAGGGACATTGTATACTATAAGGGCATGTTGGAAAAAACAACGCAGTAGTTGTTTTTTCCATTCGATATAAAATTCACAATATTTTATTGATAATTATATAATTTTAACTATTTACTTATTAAAAAATTTCTTATAAATAATGATTAAGGTGTTTCCATTTTTTATCAGGATGGCTTATTTTTTATTGATGGCTTAAATCCAGTGGCACTTTTCTTTTCAATCTTCTTGGATAGTTCTCTGTTATTAGTGAGTTTGCTAATGAATTTGGGTGACTGTTTATCTTGTTTCTATACTTGTGTGCTGTTTTTGTAATCACTTCATTTATGGTAGATGTATTCGTGTCGACATGAATCGACCAGTTGGGAACATATTTTGGAGCTCCTAAGGCAATTTTCAAAAATTTGTTTTGAAATTTCTGTATTATTTCTATGTTAATCTTATGAGCACTGCCCCACAATTGTATACCGTAGCACCAAATTGGTTTGAATAAAGATTTATATAAAAATAGCTTATTGTATGAGCTTAGTTAGGAAATAATTAACTTAATTTATATGAATCAAAATTTATTGAAATTACATCTTGAACTATTTATTTTGAACATAGATTTGCTTTTCATCAAAAACTATCCTTGCTTTCTTACATTTACATGTATGATAATTTAATGTCTTTAGTTCATTTTTATTGTAATACAAAAGTAATTGAGCTTAATTCAATAAGGAAGTAAAATGTAGTAACAACATTTTTCAATTTTGTAAAAAAGATTATATTTTTCATCCGATATCTTATCAGCGCAACTAACTTTGTGATTGACAAACATAATCGTCATTAGCACAATTCGGAAGACACAAAACTGGAGCTCACTGTGCGATGTGAGCGGCACAGTTAACTGGTTAATTATATACAAATAAATCGGTATCTGACAATTCTATGTATGCGCATTGCAATTAAAAATAGTAAAATTCCTTTGCACTATCAATACACGTTCATTAATATATTACCTAAAAGTTTATTCACTTTACACATCACTGTCAACATTCCAAGTTTAAATAGCACACAATGTATCACTTTTCCAAAAATCAAATAGGATAACAAATCGGAAATATATATCTTCTCCTATAGATCCTCCTGCAGTTCGGAGCGCAAAATGTGTACACGTATCCGTATCCAGGTGCGTAAGGACCGGACGTTTGAAAATTGGGTCCGTACGAGGGCCTCATCCGTCTGTGATAAAATGTCCGAGGGTAATAATTGACCCCATAGGCGTCGTCAGGGACAGGATCATTTTCTCGAGTTGGGTAATATTGTGGAGTGCTTGAGTGATGACTTCTTCGAGTAGGCAAATAAGTATTTATTGGTTTTTCTGTAACTATGTATATGAAGGCATCTGGTTTCTTCGTTGATGATTCGTAAGGCAGAGGTGATGCGACTGATACTGTGATGATGGCGATCCATATGATCTTTAAAGAATGTGTGAAAATCGAAATAATATCAGACATATTTTTATGAAGCCATGCATATTTGTTCGAAAAGGAATATCATTGATCACGGTTCGCACGATTATACATTATAGTAGGTATATAATGATTTTACCGCTGTTTTTTTTTAAATTTAGGCATCGAGTATTTGATGAAGTAATTCAATCTTGATAATTTTTGTTTGTCATAGAGGTAAATGTTAAATTTATGTATATAAATGTAGATAATAAATACTCTATACAACTAGAGGAAACCAATAAAAAATATGAATAAAAACAATAATAAATTGTATAATACACTACAGCAAAGCATAATCAGAAATTAGTGCAAATATGCTCAGTATAAGAACTGGAAGATTCATTTAAATAGTTCAAGCAAAATTAAATGTAAGTATGTCCTCAATATGATCTACAAATGAAACAAAGCAATTAATTACAAAAATTACGATAGAGAAGAATGAAAGATCTTACACATTTGTATAATGAATAGGATTTAAAAAAGTACAAAATTTAGATAGAGAGCGATAAAACAGTTTTTAAATGGAAAAAAAAAATAATTAGGAAAATTTAGATGGAAAAGGTCAAAAAATCTTGCACATTTGTATACAAAATAGGGTCTACAAATAGAATAAAGTAAAAAATTTAATTTAAAAAAATTAAGGATCCTACACATTTGTATACAAATTAGAATCTACAAATAAGGTAATAAATTTAATTATAAAATTTGGATAGAAAAATATAAAGGATCTTACACATTTGAGTACTAAATAGAGTATAAAAGTAAAATAAAGTAATTTATTTTATTATGAAATTATAGATAAAGAAGTATTCAATATTGTTTACAAATAAAAAAGTAATAAAATTGATTTGAAAATTGACTATTGAAAAGTATAAAGTGTCTTACACATATGTATACTAAATAGAATCTGCAAATAGAATAAAGTGATAAATTTAATTGGAAAATTTCAGATAGTAAAAAATGGAGGATTTTACAGATATATAAACTAAATATGATCTACAAAGTAATAAAATTAATTTAAAAAAAATTGCATAGGAAAGGATGAGAGATGAGAGATTTTTACATTTGTATACTAATTAGGATCTACAAATATAAAAGTAATACATTTAATTGGAGAAAATTATATAGAAAAGGCTGAAAGATCTAAATGGGATCTCTAAATTAATAAAAAGTTATAAAATAAATTAGAAAAACTTAGATAAAACATAATAAAGAATCTTACACATTTATATACATTTAAATTGGATCTACAAGTAAAACAAAATACTACATTTATTTAGAAAAATTTAGATAGAAAAGTCTGAAGAATCTTAAACATTTGAATACTAAATGGGATCTGAAATAACACAAGTTATTGAATTTGATTACAAAAAAATAGATAGAAAAAATGAAGGATCTTGCACATCTGTAATTAAATAGGATCTACAAATAAAACAAAAACTAAACCTATTTAACAAAAATTATATAGAAAAGTATGGATGATTTTATTATTTCCAACGTTATTAACAAAATTAATTGGAAAAAGAGTCTTTACAAATATTTTATAATTGATATATCGATATCGATTGATATAAATGATTGTTATAAATCAATTGATTATTTTTCTTTACTTTTAATAACTCGTAACAAAACTTCAATATTACCATCTTGTATATCATATGAAATTAAAATTTCATATAACTACGGGTTTTTCTTTTTGGCTTTACTAATTTTCAATACAATAGTATTACCTCCTTTTCAAGTTGAATATATTATATTCGAATATTCGGATTAATGTTCAAAAGAAATTTTTTTGTAATATTTATAAATCACTTAGAATTTATGGATAACGTATAGAATTTTGCAAAACTAAAGCAATCAGGTTGCAGTTTATCGAATCTGTCAGATAAAAATATAGGAAACCGATGCAGTTATAAAAAAATATAAAAACCTTCATCAAAAATCATTTAGAAACTGTTTTTCTAAAGCTACTATGAAATATGACTATTATCTTTGACAAAAAAAAATACAATTCAACTATCGATTTATACTTACTTTAGAAAACATGATTAACGAAGAATTAAAGAAAATTAACCATTCACAAAATTGTTTTATTTATGCACCTATTAATTATGCACTAACTATAACACAAATAATATAACATGTGTGTATCACTTTCTGTTTATAATTGATTTAATAATAAAAATCAATAAACCAGTATGCCACAAATTGTTGACAAAGGTCAATACAGTTCAGGAATCTTATGTGATAATAATAATGCTTCGATGCAATTCTAAGAAAACTAAAAGCGAATGTCAATTCCTTAAAGTGATAATAAAAGTTGACAAGGTTAGGTAATAATATAATAATTAAATTTATATTAATTTAGTACTAATGCATTTTGTTGTATCGTATTAAGACTGTGTATACCTATAACTTGTGTATAATCTTAAATATATCTACTTTATGAGCCATATATTTTGTGAGTTCTAAATAATCTGTGATATATGAGCTAAAGGAATACTATATATTCCGTAACTGAAATCGAAAATCAAATTTAATTAAAAAAACATACTAGTATTGTATACGTGTCTATATACTTTTATATGTTATATTTTTTATAATTTTGAAGGGTCACTTGGTATTTATTAATTTAGTATACCTCCCAAATATATACTCTACAAAACTCACTATAAATTTTGTTCTTTGAGAGAAATTAGACATCATGAACATTTATTTTTGAAACTGAAACAGTTTAATGATTGATTTGTTGTCACTTTGTAAGATAAAATAAAATTTCAAACATATCTCGAAAATTCAAAATTATAAAATCATCAATATTTGAACCATGTGAAATATACATATAGACATTGTAACTAAATTTAATTATTCCTCATTTTCAAAAAAATAAATATTTAAGTGTAATATATCAATGTGAACTAAATATATGAAACAGATGATTTGAATATAAAAATATTCAAAAATTTAAAAATATTAAGTTGAAAAAAAAGTAGTCACCTCGATTCCGAGATCACCTTCAAACAGAATATGTAAATATATTTTGTATGTGAGTAACTCTAAAACATTAGTTCAAGACAAAGCAAATTCAATAAGCACCATTCAACCCTCGCTTGGGGTTCATATTACCCCTTTTAGGAGACAATTTATAACTACCGCAGAGGATTATGCTGTTTTATATGCATTTATATATCTATTAAGGGCTGCTTTATTTACGGCTCGAAATAGAAAAAGGGATGGTAATATTTGTACGCATTTTTGAAACCATAATATATGAAATTTTTGAAAAAATTCTGGGTGCATATTACATTTACATGCATATAGATTATAGAGAAAGCATTCTGTTTCTTAATCAAATGTATTTACTTAAAAATATTATAATCTGTTTCTCATCTTAGGTTTATTAGAGTTTTTACTCATTTTAGGTTTATTGACTACCAGTAACTTAATCTTATAATTAAGTAGGAACTATAATAACATATTTATTGAAAAACTAGTGGTGTATGCATCGTGCCTTAAATCAAGTTGCTGAAACTTCCCGTACCAATTATTATTTTTTTTTAAAAAAAAAATCCTCTTTATACTTTGAAAAAATTAGATTTTTAAGAAATTTTAAATTTTTGAAGATATATAAAAATTTTCAGTTTCGATTTTTTACGATTACTATATCTTACCCTACGGAAAGTTAAAAATGCAACTAATTACAAAAACAATTTTGTCTATATAAAAAAAAATAAAAAAATTAAATGGTAGTCTGTCCGAAGCCAAGTCCATAGTGTAAAAGCCACCACAAATCAATAATTCCTTTTCCCTTCCTCGTCCATAATTTCCACAACCTGTATTCCCACTTTTCTTTTTAATACTTTTTTATGTATTTTCCTTTCGACTTCTTGCGCCTCGACTTTCAGTTCCCTGTATTGTCTTTTCTCGCGTAAGTCATCAACAATCTGCATTCTTCTTCTTCCCATTCCTGTCAGTTCTTCTACTTTACCTTCAACAGCGACATGTAGGAGACACTCTTTTTGCAGAACAGGGTCCAATCCAGCTTTCTTTTCTTTTCAGGATCGTGCTCAGTAGAGTCGTTTTTGGACCACCCTTCTGAAGGCCTTCTCCATTTGTTATCTTATTTGTCTACTTTATCTTCTTCATTCGCCTCTAGCACCAAATTTCATAACATTCCAGGTAGTTTTTGTCGGCCATTCGTAGAGTCCATGTCTTTGATCCATACAGAGCTATGCTCCAGACATAGCATTATAGCTCGTCAGAAGTGTTCTCTTCTATGTGAATTCCGCCTTAGCTTTTGCGATCCTTGTCCGGATCTTTCTCCCAAGTAGAGAGTTAGGATGCTTCCCAAGTATTTGAAAAGATCCACTTCTTCCAAATCTCGATTTTCTATTGTTAACTTCAGAAATTCACATCGTTTTGGTATTCTCATCACTTTCGATTAGTCGATGTTGATTTCTTTTTCTATATAGTAAGTACAAAATGACGTATGATGTAAGGACATAGAAATAGATAGTTTGGTTCTCTTTGGGACATCAGCTCATAAAGCATGAGCCCAAAAGAACGAATTATAAACCATAACCAACCTTCCCCTGGCTCAAATCGGGAATAGACGTCTTTGCAATAAATGCAAGTATCTTCTTTTTTCCGGTAGATAATTCGGTCAGTTTTTAGAAGTAGTTAGAGTAAAAGTTAGAAGCCAATACCCTTTCACAGATATCATCGTTCTTGGCCTCTAATGAACAACCCTGCACTTCTTGCGAAATAAGTACTATTTCTTTAATTAATGTTATTTTGTCTACTGTTTAGGTATGTCCGAAATTTCTTACAAATTAGTACAAAATAAGTACTAAATAACACAACAAGTCCGGATTGATTTTGCTAATTTGGTCTTGCTTGCTTAAGAGAGGTATGTCCGAAAGTGAGCGAAAATAAATAAATAATCAAAATTTTACCGAACACCTGATTATTGCAATAAAATTGATCAAAATCACTAGCACTGGTACAGTTCATTGATTTAATTAAAAATATTTACAATTAACAATAAGTACCTAAGTCCCAAAAAAAACATGACAAAAATGTCTTGAAGATGCTTGTAAATTTCCCAAAAGGAAATATGGAAACTAATTTTGTACCATTCTTTTTGTGAAATTTCGGAAAATATTAGGATATACAGGTAGACAGAGAAAAAAATAAAACAGTAATAAAATTTATTTTTATATGTATAATTTTAATTCGCATGCTAATTAATCAATTTGATATCTACCATTAAACCATGGAAAAATTTCATTCATCAAAATAAATTATTGCATAAATTATTTCAAAACTATGTGTTACATATTTATTATTGCTAGCATTGAAATAAATAATCGAAGTAAGTCAAAATCATAAAACTTGCCGATAACAAAATGTCATATGGACTAGTTTTTATAGAGTTTTATGACACTCTGCATCCTAGATAGTTTTTATGAAAATTAACACTTTATCGCTCAGCACGACACCAAACTGGTGGATTACATGTTATTTGTAAACATCTGTGTATGTCCTGTATGCAACATATGTAGTTCAACCCTTTGGATTATTTTGCGAACTCTTTATTTTAGTGTCATATGTTTGCAGATTATGCGGGTTATTGAACCGCATGTCAAACAATGACATACTTATTCTGATATGAATATGATATGTACTTTGCTATTTTATAGAAAGATAGCGTTGCGAAATATAATTATAAAACTATACTTTTTGCTACATTTTTTATTCTCTATTTTATTTACAACATGTAAGGACATGTAGTAAATTTAGGGATTTTCCGATTGTCACCCGTAAAGGGACATTGTATACTATAGTGACATGTTGGAAAAACACTCAATAGTTGTTTTTCCATTCGTTATAAAGAATATTAAAAACTGATAATAATATAAACTTAACCATTTTCTTATGAATAATAATTAAATTATTTCATTCTTTATCAGAAAAATTGATGACTTAAATCAAGTGGCGATTTTCTCTTCAATCTACGTCGATAGTTTTCTGTTATTAAGGAGTTTGCTAAATAATATTAGTATTTGTAATCACATTATTTATTAAAATAATGTAATTTGTTTCAAATGTACTGTTAACATGTCTATTTTATAAGTTCCAAATTTCAGAAATGAATTTGATAATGTATGTAATAATTATTACCTGAAGGCAAACTGCTGAACTTTTTTAAGAAATAATTCATATCGATGGTGCACTTTTTGTCTTTTGTTTGAACATATTTGTAATGTTTTAATAATAAAAAGGTAAATTTCAATAATAACTAGCTGTAAGTGGAATTCTGTCTTGAGGCAATTATGGCATCGTGCCTTAAGGCAAATTGCTGGAACTTCCCGTACCGTAACGAAATGTTCGTGGAATACCAAATGTTTTCAAATAGATTATTCTAAATATTGTAACATTGTCATATTTATAAGAATTATATAAACTGTATTGCAGAGTTGAAATTATTTGTAAAGTATATTAGAACTATAGTCAGAATTAAACATAAAATCTGAAATATTTTCGATATACAAAAAACTAAAAAAAAAAAAAAAAAAAAAAAAAAAGAAAAAAAAAAAAAAAAATTGGGACAATTTTTTTTTTCCAAATCAATTATTTTGTTAAGACAAGCAGAAAGTTCTTTGAATCATTTAAATCGGACGCTTAGTTCTCTCAAAAATTGCCATTTTTTACATATTTAGCTCCGTATCTTCAAAATTGCTGGGTCTGCCTTTGCCAAAAACTAATAAACACTTCTCCCAATCATTACTAATTGAATGTTTTTTAGATCATTCAAATCGGATACTCCGTTCTCTCAAAAATTCGATTTCTATTTTCTGCACTCTTTGCTCCGTATCTCCGAAACGGCTGGACCTGCCTTTGCCAAAAACTAATCAGCTCTTTTCCCTATCAATAGGAATCGAATGTTTTTTGAACCATTCAAATCGGTTGATCCGTACGCCCGAAAACGTGGGCGAAAATTTGTATCCATACATACATACACACACACACACACACACACACACACACACACACACATCCATTTTTTCTGAGGTATGCCAAAACGTTCAGAAACCTTCAAAACGTCGAGAAATGTAAAAATTTTCAATTCCGATTTTCG